TCTGTCAAACCCGGTTCTGCGTATTGGCCTTTCTAATGTGTGAGGAAGGATGAGGAAGGGAGAGCCAAAGCTGAAGAAGTTGTGGATGTAGCCTGTGAGGTTTGGTGGTGTGACACCTTCAGAGGAAATGAAGAGAATGACTTAGCTAATGGGCACAAGAGCTGATGAAATAGGAGAAGAAATTCTACAAAATGTCACTGTGGATTATAAATTGGATCCTTTTCTTGATCTCCACAAATTGCAAGTAAAGAAATGGGTTGGATTTTTCTTAAAACTATCAATAATTCCATTTCTTGGGCCATGTTACAATTCAAACTGGACCTCATGGATTTTTCCTTACATTTGGCTATCCCTACACTCCACCTCCTTTATCTTTTCATTTAAAGCTGCCTTGAGTGCTTATTTTTCCAGGTTTTCATTGCTACAGTTTTCCATTTTAAAGTCTGGAATTATTCTCTATACACAACCTCTACTCACCTATTTCTGTTGACAGAGCTATAGAATGTTAAGACTTGGTTTGAGAATTTCTGCAAACTACTTCCAAATATGATCAGAATCTAAGAAGGGTTAATTGAAAAAAGAATCAGGGTCAAATAGCTGAAACATAGAAATCAGGCCAGTCAGAATATTTATATTTTGACTTTTCAGTACAGAAAACAGAGGATCAAAATTACTACTTTAGCACTTGAAGCACAGCTCTAACAATGTTCTTGAGATCAGTCTTTCTTCAGAGTAATTGGCATGATTCTGATTTCTTCAGTGTTTGCTATCAGAATTCATAAAATAGTATAAATCAAGTGATGCCCTTTAAATTAATGTTTTTTCACTGTACATGAGTATCTTTCATGTCAGAACATTTTGAATACTTCATTATTTAAAAAATCAAATCTAGTCAAGAAGCTAAGAAATGAAATTTATACTATTCCATTTCTTTAATTGGTGAAGACTTTCAAGTTAATATCAAAAGAGCAGCCCTTTAACTATTCTCAAGGAATTAATATAGAAATAACAGTTATAATAAGACTGACTAAATTTCTGAAAGTATACTTTTAATAGCCTCTCCAAAGACTTTAGTTTAGTCTAGACAATAAAAATAACAGTTTTTAAAAAGATAAACTGTGATTGATAGAGGAGAAAATCTAATTTTTTAGGATGTATATTTTTAAAAATTAGCATTAAAAATAATATCTTAGTAACTGAAATAGACATATGGATATTTTAAAGCCATGCTTTGCTGGAATATTTTATACTTTGTCTTTTAGTGAGGTCAGGTCTTTGGCTTGGAACTTAAAAGCGGATGCATTAAACAATATTATGTGCTTGTATTGCTGTATTATAACAGTGGTTTAATCTGTCTGCCTATAAAACTCTTATATGAAATGAAGTGGATCATTAATTACTATGTTCAGTATTCTTCTTCACATCCAAAACACTGATAGTTAAGAATCTGCTATCTTCATTTCCCTTCCCTGTTCTTCCCGGATGAAAGCAAATAAATAAAGATTGTTCTCTAACTGCCAGAAGCCTGCTCAGTTCCTCTAAGAACCCAGAATAATGAACTCGAAAAGGAATGGGCACACAGTCAAATCCAGGCTGTTTTGACTCTTTTCTGCAATATGTAGTGTCTCCTGGTCTGCCCAATCTGGGTACCAGGAAAATGATAAAAACAACAGTCTTGGTGTTGGTAAATGACAGTCTCCCATTGTTAAGGTTGCTTAGGTGTATTTTTTAACTATTTTAAATAAAAGAACAAAAATATCTACATAGAGAAAACAATCAAGTATAAAATGAAAGGTTTTAGTAGACCCCCACTTCATACCACCATTAACTTGCTTACTTGTTTTGTTCCAAGTTCCTGTCTAAGTCAGGGTTTTCTGGTATGTTCTTCCCCACCTACCCACCACCAACCTGCCCTGCCCAATTCTTGTTTATGTGTCAGCCTATCTATGTTCTGCCTTGCTTATTTACATAGAAAGGTCTTAAGAATATTTTCCTTTTTCATATCAACACCTACTCATCTAATTCTTTTGAAAGACTACAATATACTACTGCATGGATATGCCTTATTGACATACTGAGTCCCCTAATACTGAGCTTACTTGCTATTAAAATAAAGATCCTATGAACATCCTGGAAGATATATACTGATGTACTTTTACAAGTATATTTGTAGGGTAAATTTATAGGAGTAGAACTGCTAAGCCAAATACATGTCTAATTAAAGTTCTAGTAAACTTATTAAGTTGCTCTTCAAAAATGGCAACAATTTGCCCTTCTACCAACACTCTTGTGAACTTGGTATTATCAGACATTTAACTTTTCCCCATCCAATAGATGAAAAATGGTATCTCACTGTTCCTTTGCTTTACAATTCTTTAATCGTGATAATGTTGGTTGCTTTAAGTCTGTGATTATTTCTATTTTAGTGTGAACTATTATTTCTATATTTTGCTCATTATTTTTTGAAATGTGAAACACTTTGCACACTTTGTACATTTGCCTGCCATTTTGCACGTAGACATTGTTAATCCTCTGAGTCATTCCAATTGACCATAGGAGGTCTGTCCAGAAAGCATCCAGCAATGTAATATTAAAAATAGAGACATTTAATGAAGATGATACAAGATACAAGAAACATTGTACAGAGGGCAATGGTGCCTCATTGTCCTTCAAAATAGGCACCTTGGGACCTCACACAGTTCTCCCAGTCCCTATCTGCTGGCCTGTCACATTTTCCTGAATCTCATCGATGGTCTGAAATCTCTTTCCTTTCAAAGGTGATTTTAGTTTTGGGAAAAGCCAGAAGTAACAGGGTGCCAAATCTGGGCTGTAGCAGGGCTGAATCACCTGGGTGATTAGATGTTTCACAGAAAAACTCTGCATGAGATGTGATGCATGAGTGGGTGCATTGTTGTGATAAACCTGCCAATCACCAGGTGCCCGTAGCTGTGGCCTTCCGAATCATCCGAATAGTTTCCAAAGAGGAATGTTCAGGCTTAATGCAAAATGTGATGCAGATTTGTTTCTCTATTTGCTCAGTCATTTTTAATGCGATGGCCACACAGTACACATGCTCACTAAATGATGTCTACCACCCACACTGACGAGTACAGTGAAGTTGTCCTTGTTCATGCACATGCATTCCAGTCCACTCTCCTTGGCTGCCAGGTTATATAGAAGTTGTGCAAACCATTCTCATTATATTAACAATGGCTGGAATTTTTCTGGACATACCTCATATATGTATATGTCATTTACTAACCATGGCCATTTAATAACCATGAAAATTGAGAAAACTTACTTAAATTCTCTAAGCCTCAGTTTCCTCATTAGTAAATTGGAGATGGTAATAGTACATACATCATAAAAGTTATTGTGAAGATTAGGGAAACTAATCCAACAAAGCTGACAAGCACTAAACATGGAACACGTACAAGTTCCGCTGTGGCTGGTCACCCCTGACACTGAACGTGGGCCCGACCAGCCCAGGCAGAGCTAGGGCATCCCCTTCTTCCTGGTCCTTTCTCAGTGTGGTTCCTGTTGTGGGCTCTGCTTGTAATTTATGTTTTGCGTTTCTGTGGAGTATATTTAATTAATTAGCAAGTATCTCCCAAGGGACCAAATATATTTGAGAAACAATCTGCTTTATTCAGTCAGGAGAGGTAAAAAGTATTGTGGGAAGTGTACAGTTTTATATCTTTCATTTATTCAGTCCCACTGTTCACTAATAAACAATGTAAGAAAAAGAAGACAGAGTCAATATTCATATAGATTTGGAGTTTGATACATGTCTCAGTTAAGATTTCTAAACATACCTTCTTTTATAAGCAAATTAAATCTTTATTTTCTTTCACCTAAAACATTTCATACTTTTTATCTTATTGCTCTCAAACACTGAACTGCTTAGTTAGTATTATAATACAAACCGACCTAAAGTTCAAACAATGGTAAGACCTAATGGAAAGAAATTGAAAATTTTACATTTATAATATTATAGCATACCTAGTAAAGACATTTTTAATCATAAAGAAAGCATGCTAAAATAAAACTCATATAAAACTTAATTGAAGGCAATTTATACAATATGGTTTTCTCTATTAAAAAGTAGGACAGTTTAACAGAAATATGCAAGAAGTCGTTTTTCCATTCCCTTGATATATAATTGTTTCAAACAAGTACTAATACGTGATGTTTATTGAAATCGGGAGACTCTGCTTAGCAATCCTATCTATTTGAGATTTTTAAAAGCTAATCCAATATTCCATTTTGGTAATAATTTTTTTTTAAATTGTGGCAGTGGGAGTGATATCAAGAAGACATGATTACGAATGTAGTTAAAGACTGATTCTTTTGAAGTTTTCCCTCCATAGAAAATAATCAAATTATTATGCTAAGTGAAATAAACCAGTTGGTGAAAAACAAATACCACATGATCTCACCTATAAGTGGAATCTGTTCAACAAAATAAACTAACGAACAAAATAAACCACAGGCATGGAAACATGGAGCAGACTGAAAGTGGCCAGAGGGGATGGGGAAGGAGGACAATGGTGGAAAAAAGGGAAAGGGACTAGACAGAGAACATGTATGAATGACCCATGGACATGGACAACAGAGCGGGAATTGACTGTGGGAGCCAGGGTTGGGATGGACAGAACAAGGCAAAGGGGGAAAAATTGAGACAGCTGTAATAGAATAAACATGAAATAAAAATAAAAAAAGAGAAAATAATCAAATTAAATCAGATACCAAGGAGAAAACATATTTGTTGAACATGTTGAAGTGTGAAATGTCAAATGGTCGTGTAAACACATATTTTATGTTATGTTCTGAAATGCATATATTTATGGATCGATGTCAATAAATTAATTAAATAAATTGTCTTGCTTTTTGGAAACTTTGCATTACAATAACCTGAAATTGTATATCCAGGTATAAGCTTAGAGATGAATAAGATGGTTGTATCCTTTTTTGTTGTTTGTTTTGTTTTCTGTTCACAGTAAGTGATGACCATTTGAATGGCTTGAAAGCCAGAATAGAAAATGCCGATGTTAGAAATGGAGATCTCCTGAGAGCTCTGAATGACACTTTGGGAAAATTATCAGCTATTCCAAATGGTAAGCTATTAGGACACTGCAAATTGTATCAGTTCTGAACTTTGAAAGAATGTTTTATTTTCTACCACTTTTTCTAAAATTACACTGCTACTGTTCTCAGGATATTAGATACTTGTTTTCTTATTAATCCTTCTTTGTGAGAATGAGAAACTAAATCATACTTTATACTGTGCTATTTCTTATCATTTGTTACCTTAGCTGACATCCACAGGACTATGTTATAAAAAGGAAAATACAGCCATCTTGTTATTGTTTTTATTATTTCATGTTTCAGCCCAGGAAATCTTATATTAGTAGAAAAGTACAAAATCATACAGACACTGTTCTCTAAAATGTTGATGTACTACCACAAAATCTCAGGTTGGTACTGTATCTGCAGTAATAAGTGAGAACCAACTGCGTCAACACATATTTTGGCAATGTTCAGCTCTTTAAATGTTTCAGCTTTCAAAAACATTATTGGCTGAACCACGTCTGTTATATTTTCCTACCTATTAACAAGTACTTGAAGTGGTTTCTTGGTGTACTAAACTCACTATTCTTTAGGTTACTATATTTTTATTTTCCTAGGATGACATAATCACAAGGGTTGCTAACATTTATTGAGTGCTTACTCAATATGTTTAAGTGTATGTACTCCTCATACTAATCCTATAAGGTGAATGGCATTATTATTACCACTTTGCAGATGACAAACTGAGACCTAGGATACTGAAGGTCGTTGTTAAAAGTAACATATATGAGATTTGAACCCCACAGCCTAACTTCAGAGCTTGTGGTCCTAACTACTAATCTACATAAACTAGTAAGCATCTATGTCTACAGTACATTTTCTTTATACAAATGTGATCAAGAAAACAAACGCATATATTCCTACAATGCAGAAAATATTAAAATCTTAATTATTTTAACTTTTTTTAAACATGAAAAATCCAAATAACTTTCTAGATTTTCATATCAACTCTTGAACAGTAAGAAAGTGTGTAGAAAATTTCCAGGGCTGAAAACAAATGTAAATACATGAGCATACAGTCTGACATGTCTGAAAAAGTACGTTCTCTCTCTCCACCCTCAAACTAAAGGACATTGGTACTGCCCGCCATGGATGTACAGATTAAATCTTAAAACTACTTTTCAGGAAGCAATGAGACTCATGTGGGTAAAGTTCCCTCTTTAATATGTTCAACAGCAAATCACAATATACCCTTCTACAATGAACATTTAGAATAACCACTTTGTTCTCTTAAGAACTAATCAGCTATTCATAGCAAAGGTCCCTGAGAAAATTTAATTCGCTAAAGTTTTACTTTATTTGTTACAACTGAATGACGCAGAGTTCAGCCTTTCCCTTTGTACATGTGTTCCCAAGGTCATCCGGCTACCGCCTCGCTTTGACAAACATGGATTTAGCCACTAACTCCAGGCCCTTTGTTTTGTTCTTATACCTTCTGCTGACAGACACAGTCGCTAAGCTGCAAGCTGTTAAGGACAAAGCAAGACAAGCCAATGACACGGCGAAAGATGTACTGGCACAGATTAAAGATCTCCACCAGAACCTTGATGGCCTGAAGAAAAATTACAATCAACTAGCAGACAGCGTAGCCAAAACAAATGCTCTGGTGAAAGATCCTTCAAAAAACAGTACGATCCCCTTTTTCATTTTGATAATGTCATTTATTTCTTCTCACTAGAAACATACCCTAGACTCAGACTGTTAGAGCTGGAAAGGATCCTCATTGTGGTGCCGTCTCTCCTCCTTGTTTCATAGACAAGGCTAAGGGATTGAGTGTTTCTGCAGCTCCAGAACTAGAACCCAAGTCTCCCAGCTTTGTCCATGGCTTTTCCCCTCCAGACTGTCCAGTCAAGAGGAAATTAGGAATTCTCAAAGGCTGCATAACATTTAGTACAGCGATGCCAAATGCCTTTAATCCTCCACTGTAATTGAAAATATATTTGTACTTGGGAAACTGTATCCTCAAAGCTGGTGAAGTTCCATGAAACATAGAAGTCAAAGAACCTTACAGTTAGAAACATGATATTAAAATGGTATCAACTTGAAATGCATTAGCATTCAAAAATACTGACATTTTATTGTTTAGGTTTTAGTTATTTAACAATTTCAGGAAATTAAAGCATTTACTTAGTTTCCCCAGAGTATTTCTTCACATTTTTTTGTATGTTGCATCAAATTACATTTATTTCATTAGAATTTACTGAGAAATGTGGGAGAACTTAAAATAATGATAATTTAAATTATTAAGTATAGTCAATAAACACTAGGATTTTAAAATATTTTTTTCCATTCTGTGAAGTGATAAAATGTTACCTTAGTATGTGATTTCACCAAAAGAGACACTTGATTTTTTGGACTTGTTTTTCTCAAGAGAATAGCCTTCTTTATATACCAACATTTGTACTGGGTATCAAAATATTTGTAGAGTACAACAAATACCCTGTTATTGACATTATATGCTATATAATCAGATGCTGGTTAGGGAATGAAACATGATTTTTGAGCACCATAGCCTCATATCAAATCTTAATGATGCTGTGAAATAACAGACGCTACCAGCATGACTCCTTCATGAGCAAGGAAGAGAGCAAACACATATAACATGCACTTCAGAGCTAGTGAGCTTCTTCCTCACCATTTCTTCAAGAACGAAAAAGACAAGATACATTTGTTTTGTTAATTTATTCTTATGTAAGCCCAGGTATAGTTTCCTCCTGTAGATCAAAGAGTCTGAATAAATGGTTGAGATGCATGGCAAATCATATCCCCCTACATGCCCCCCCAAAAAATAAGCATATATTTTAAAGTAAATATTATTCTTCTACTTATTTTCTAATTTAAGATACCATTTCATTCAGTTTCAGATTGGTTCTCAGCTGATTGTGGTCATTTCATAATATTTATCTCTAACATTTTTGATCCTGTCCTCTATCAAGATAATTATCTGTAATATTAAGTAGACTGGGTCTGTTTTTGATTTTATAGAACATTATAATAAAGTTTCTTTTAATATGAACAGAGGCCTCTAAATAAAAGAATATGTTTTTGTGTGGTTTTATTTGATAACACTAATTTGACTTAAAATGGGATGCATTTGTATTTAGTACCTGTTGTGAAAAGTATCATTTGTGATAATCATTACTTTATAATGTTGATAAAAAAGTATTTCCTCATAAAGTTTCTAATTTCTTTTTGTTTTACTTCCACATGCAATCACCTGCAGAAATCAGTATGTATATGTTTATTTACATATTAATAACTTTTATGCTTGATTGCCTATTGCAAAAGCTTCAGCTTTGCATGTAACCATGTTTAGGTATCTCTTTAAACATGGTATAGATATTCTTTCCAGCATCACAAGGTTATTGCTAGATATATAAAGTAAAACTTTCTTTACAAAATGTTAATACATGAATGTATTTGGTATACATCTAGAGAATTATATTTAGAGAAGCACATAATAAAATAAAATTAAATCAACAAATAAGCAACCACTGGGTTATAAAAACATTCTCTTAAACATCCCCAAGTTTTAATTCAAAAATCAAAATCAAAACTGCAAAATAAAAAATTATAATAAAATCCAACATATCAAAACCTGAGAAGGCTCTCCTCAGTTGAAAATGAGTGCAATTACATTAACAAATAAGCATTGAACCAAACAATTTAACCAATTCTATAGGTTAAACAAAACAAAATTAACTAAAAGAAAGAATGTGAAAAAACATTACTGAATTAGAACACAAGGAAATAATGGATTTGATCAATCTAAAAGGTGGATCTTTAGGAATATAAAGATAAAATATTTTAGATGTTTGGCTAGCTTAATCAAGAAAAATAAAGCACAAATAGACAAAGGAGGTATAACTGGATAAGAGGAAATTTGACACATAAAATGATACTTCGCAAACTCTATGCTTATAAATTTTAAAGCTTAAAAGAGATAATTTTCTATAAAAACGTTGTTATCAAAATGTATCTTCAGAAATTATTTAAAATCTACACAAATAATTATGTCAGAAAGAAGTTTTCAAAAACTACTGCACAAGAAAGCATCAGATCCAATATCATAGATGATTTAATTTTAAACCATTGAGAAGATAATTTTTTTTATTTATTGATTTTAGAGAGCAAAGAAGGAAGAGAGAGAAACATCGATTTGTTGTTTCATTTATTTATGCATTTATTGGTTGATTCTTGTATGTGCTCTGACCAGGATCAAACCCACAACCTTGGTGTATCAGGATGATGCTCTAATCAAGTGAGCTTCCCAGCCAGGACCTAAGAAGATAATTTCTGTATGATTTAAACTGCTCCAAAGGATAGAGGAGAAAAAAGGGAGGGAGAGTGGGACTGCAGAATCCATTTTGAAAAAATTGATGGAAACTACTAAGAGCATTAGAAGAAAAAGATCTATTATTTGCCTAAGCCTACCTAGGTAGTCTTTGCTTAACTCCTTTTTTCTCTTTCTTAAGAATTTAATTTAAAGCATTTTTCCTCAACTCTAGAGTAATTTTTCAAATATCAGAGTAATATTATTGGAGAATTAAAAGAAGAAAAAATGGACAAATGGTTTATTTAAAGGTGTACAAAATGAAGGGATACCTGTTTTTATGTTGAACACCTACACAATTATGTAATGAAGGCTTTGACCACAATAACCTACATCAGGAAGAGAATACTCAGTTCATGATCTAGCAACTCTATGTTAATGCTAATAAGAAACCTATGTCTTTTTAAACATCACTAACAATATACTCATAGTTATGGCCATGAATTCAAAATTCTTAGTTTAAACCTTATTTAAAATAATAATTTCCTTCCTTTTGAACACATTCGATTAATTCCTGAGGATTAGTTCCCAGTGGAGCAATGTCAGCCAGAGAGCAGATCGTTCATAGTCTAGCAGAGCACATAGCCTTGGACCTTAAACAGTTTTACTTTTTAAGCAGGGTCCCAGTGACAGGAAACAGAAAAATATGTGCTTGATCAGATAACAAATGATGCAGTTTGGATAAGGCTCCTAGAGGGAGAATAATTGGTTTTCCATGTGTCACTTGCCCTCTTACAAAAAGCACATGCTAGATTTCTATGGATCAGTGATAACCTTTGGTTATTTTGGGGATATACCCCTTTTGAAATTGTCAATGTTCACCATTTTTTTAATCTACAACAATGGCAGTTAAATATGGTTCAATGTAATATAGAGAGCAGGAAAATCAACTATTCTTCAAAATGAAAATAATCTGCATCATGAAAGATTTAATTAAAATATAAAATAGGCCTTTAGTCTAAGGGTTGTTCAACATTGAAGGGTTTTCAGAAGTCATTTTGATAGCTTCTCTATTTAAGATGTGCAAATAAAGACAGTGAGAAAAAGAAAGAAAACCAATTTTGTGTAAGAAGCTTTATTTAAATACAGGTCTGATTTGGACAGACAAGGTGACATTTTAAAGACACTTTCATTTTCCTGATTCTCTGACTAAAATTCTATTCTGTAAAGGTTGACTTTGGGCCAAAGCTAGAAATGAAGGATTGAATTAAGTTTATCATATTCTCAACCTTCAATGCTAACTTTCCCTTTCATCACAAAGCCAGTGTTGACCCTTGTTCCTCAGCAGCTGTTCCTCTGGTCTGCTTGAGTCCCAACTAAAACATTCCCATTTGCCATCACCAGCTGCTTCAACAGTCATGGCTTTGCTTTTGTCATGTGGATAAGATAAAATTCTTTTAATTATTTAGTTAAGCATACTGTCAATCTCATTTGCATGTGTGTGCATGCTTGTATGTGTGTGCATATAAGTGCATGTATGTGGTATGTGCTTATCTTGTTCTGTGCAGTTGCAGATGCAGATGCCACTGTGAAAAATCTGGAACGAGAAGCTGATCGACTGACCGATAAACTCAAACCTATCAAGGAGCTTGAGGATAACCTGAAGAAAAACATCTCTGAGATAAAGGAACTGATAAACCAAGCCCGGAAACAAGCCAATTCTGTAAGCTGTTTTTATTTGCAGTGTCAGTCACTGATTGTATTTTTAGTTTTATTTCCAGGTGAAATGTCTTCCCCCAATGTATCCTGTTGAATGATCTTTGTTTCTTTTTATTTTACTTGAAGTTATTTTGGAGAGCATTAGGGAATGGAAGGTTAAATGTTTTGAGATTTTCTCATAAATTTTAAAAGATGTCTCTTGAGAAGAATAATCACTACTAATTGTTTCATAAATTGAAATTCTGAGGTATTTTATTATTAAACTGAGTAAAATAAATTGCAAGAATGGAAACTTTACTTTTGTATACTAAAAAAGGTATGGATGAGAGTGCCTTGCTCTTCATGAAAGCAAAAAAACGCAAACCAGTGGTGAAGTAGCAGGAATGAATGAACAAGGTTTATATGAAGTAATAACAAAGAGGGATCATTATTTTCTATATCTTTTTTTTGTCTGAGTATAAGCAATAACATAAATTATTTTGGTTACAAACAATTTTTACAGTTTCTTTTTGGAATAAGAATAGAAAACACCTAGCTGGTCTCAAAACTTTGATCTTTATTAACAACTAGAAGATTCTTAGGATAGAAGCAGAACTTTCTACAAGATAGCATCCTAATGAACCAGGACAGAATTGTTAATGCCAATGTGAAGCTTTATTTAGCTGAGTAAAGTTATCCCCATGATGGTTTTTAGAAATAGAAGGGAAACAATAACAGTTTTCATGTTGTCAGATTTAAACTCAAATCTTTTTATATACCCATGTGTTCCATCTCGAAAATTTTGTTTTCCCAACAACTGTGAAGATAGAATGATTAGAAATGATATTTCTTAATCCATCAATTTATATTTTTTAAGTAGTGGCCAGGAATATAAAGCCAAGTGACAATATTTCCATGGCTTTCCTGTATACATATCTAATACCTCTAAAGAAGGCCAAGATAATAAGTTCAAGGCATATTTTGAAAAAGAATCCATGACTGACTGAAGAGAAACTTAGAAAATGACAAAAAGATTAGTGAGGATAAAGTACATGAGCTCAGTAAAAAAAACATAGGGTTGAGAAGACATTTATTGAGGTACAGTATGAAAATCATGTAGGCAGTATGAAAACAGATGATCGTTGTTTATGTGAACCACAAGGTAAAAATAAATCATATCTCACTCCAAGGTTTGGAGTTTTCTCTAAGATTTAGCCAATGTAGAAAAACCATATCCAAGGTCCAAGGCTACTTTGCTATGAAGTACACAAAGATGAATGAGGAACACACAAAGGTTATACTGCAGTGAAAGAAGTAAGACATGCACACAAATAACTCAAAGCTAATGCAGAATGTTGTGCTGTGTTGGATGAACAATGGAAATGCTATGAAGTTATGAAAGGAAAGATCACCTCTGATAAGGGTCAGAAGATTCCCCGAAGTGAGGGATTTGAGCCAGGCCTTCCGATGGGACAGTGCTGGGCATGGGAGGGGGATGGGAGGCAGGGGAAAGACAACATTCTAAGAAAGGGGAATAGCTTGAGACAAGGCAGAGAGAGAAGAAAGTTTCAGGGTGGTTTTATGAAAGAGCAGTCTAGTTTGTCAAGATTATTGGTAAAGTGAACTTTAAACTGGAAAGGTGAATGGAGGCCAGGCCTTGTCAGGCCCTGGAGAGTGTAAGTTAATCTGTTTCATTGAGCTGTGATTGCACCTGAAATAAACATTATTGGTGAGGAGAAGCTGAAAGTGCCTGGTTATAAAATATAATATAATCAAGTGCCAAGCATTTTTAATATGAATCTGGAAGTAGTTTGTGGGACAGATGAGAAAAACTAGACAGGAGGAAGCAAATTTAGAATTACAAGAACCAACCGTGTCAGTGGCAGGAGAAACAAGAGATTGACATACCGCTCCTGGGTTGGCAATACTAAATCTGAAGAAGCAATAATGGTAAATAATCTACTGTGAATCACACACTTAGCCACATAGTCTGCTTAGTTATCACGGGGGATATCTGAACATTTTTCTATTTTTTTTTATTTTTCAAGTACAATTGGCATACAGTACAATATTAGTTTCTGATTTACACCCCAGTGATTAGACATTATATAAGTTACTAAGTGATCATGCCGATAAATCTCATACTCACCTGACACCACACATATTTATTAGAATATTATTAAGTATATTGCCTATGCTATACTTTACATCCCCATGATTATTCTGTACCTACCATCTGGACATTTTTGTTATGTCTTCATTATAAAGAAATTTTGAAATATGCCTGTGTATTTATCAGTTTGAGAACTTTCCTACCTCAAACCCACCCCCTGGAGAAAAAGATAAAATTATGACATGTAAATATATAAAACTTGTCTCCAGACACAAAATGAAAGACAAGTATAAAAGTAATACTAGAAATAGTGACCAGTGCCTATAGCTTTTAAGGAAATTTTCAATCCCTTTTGGAAATAGACGTTAAAACAAAGTGCCTTACTTTTCATAAGATGTTAGAAGTATGTAAGCAGCCAAATTTTTTCAATGAGTTTTATATAAATTGAAGATGACATTTGCCTGATTCGTAAACGTATTTGTAATCTGGCATGATTATCTGGATGTGGGCTTAACACATATTCAATGTGACCAAGAAAATTAAAGACATTTATTTTAAAGTAACTTTCTTTTTGCTTTGTTGAGTTTGAAATTGAGTGGCTGATACTCATTTTAAATGAATGACCTAGTTGCTGGATGAAAAATGCATGAAAAACCAATAGATACAATAATGGGATTTTCAATAATGTTTAACTGAGTTCGTGGTGATAAATTGGTAAACAATGTTTATGAAAAATGCTTTAAAGACACCTAATGCTTGGCGATTTCCGTTTAGAAGTTTTACTAAGGATTCACATTAGAAATAACAGTTGATAGAACCAAATATCTTAAGAGGACATTTTGTTTCAGAAATTTCTCTCCTCTAGAAAAATTTATAAATGCCATACTTGGATTTACATAATTTGAGTTAGTTAAAATAAATATCTATAGTGGGAAGATGGAGACAAATATATTTGAACAAACAATTAATTAATTTAAAAAATATCTATAATTTTAAATAATAACACAAAATTTTTAAATGAGAAATTAGTAGGTATGGACCGGATACCAACAGTTTTGGCTACCTGAAATTTTCAGGTACTGAACATATATTCGAAGCCATAACCCAGAAAACAGAAAATGCATAGAACTTTTCATATAAATGTATGAGTTGATCAGTAGGTTACTTTATAAGATTAATTGCTGGCATATTGGGTATAACAACATCATTTTGTACAGAGAACCATATTTTTTTTTGGTATGTAAAGTGTCCTGTAAAGTAGATTAATTGTGACTCCTAGTGACGTTAAATATGATTTGCTCTGAAATGGCTGCCTTAGACAGAATTTTCAGATGGAGTTTCATTGGTTCAGTTAGGCTGCTGTACTGGTGCTGTCTTCTGCACCTTGGCCACCATTTTTTTTAATTATATTTTATTGATTATGCTATTACAGTTGTCCTGATTTTTCTCTCTTTACCCCCCTCCACCCAATACCCCCCACTCCCTCTGGCAATCCCCACACAAATGTTCATGTCCATGGGTCATGTGTATAAGTTTTTTGGCTACTCCACTTCTTTACATTCCCATGGCTATTCTGTGACTACCTATTTGTACTTCTTAATCCCCTCACCTCTTCACCCATTCTCCCACTCCCCACTCCCATCTTGCAAACATCAAAATGCTCTCTGTATCCATGATTCTATCTCTGATCATCTTGCTTGCTCAGTTTGTTTTTGTAGATTCAATTGTTGATAGATTTGCTTTTTTTTTTTTTTGCCATTTTATTGTTCATAGTTTTGATCTTTTTCTTAAATAAGTCCCTTAAACATTTCATATATAAATGGTTTGGTGCTGATGAACTCCTTTAGTTTTTTCTTGTCTGGGAATCTGTTTATCTGCCCTTTGATTCTAAATGATAGCTTTACTGGGTAGAGCAAACTTGGGGTCCCTGCTTTTCCTGATTTTAAATATTTCTTGCCAATCCCTCCTAGCTTGCAAAATTTCTTTTAAGAAATCATCTCACAGTCTTATGGGAACTCCCCTGTAGGTAACTAAATGCTTTTCTCTCGCTGCTTTTAATGTTCTCTCTTTAACTTTGGCATTTTAATTATGATGTGCTTTGGAGGGGGCCTCTTTGCATCCATCTTGTTTGGGGCTCTCTGTGCTTCCCTGACTTACATGTCTATTTCCTTCACCAAATTACAGAAGTTTTCTTTCATTGTTTTTTCAAAGAGATTTCTAATTTCTTGCTCTTTCTCTTCTCCTTCTGGTACCCTTATGGTGCTAATGTTGGAATGCTTGAAGTTACCCCAGAGGCTGCTTACACTACCCTCATTTTTTTTGGACACTTTTTCCTCCTTGTTGTTCTGGTTGGCTGTTTTTTGCTCTCTTATGTTCCAAATCATTGACTTGATTCTTGGCTTCATCTGCTCTACTGTTGTTTCCCTGTAATTGTTTTTTATATCAATTAGTGTAGCCTTCATTTCTGACTGGATCTTTTTTATGCTGTTGAGGTCCTCACTAAGTTCCTTAAGCATCCTCATAACCAGCGTTTTGAACTCTGCATCTGATAGATTGCTTATCTCTATTTCCATTAGCTCTTTTTCTGGAATTTTGATCTGTTCTTTATTTTGGCCATGTTTCTTTGTCTCCTTATTTTGGCAGCCTCCCTATGGTTTATTTCTATGTATTAAGTAAAGCTGCTTTGCTTCCATATCTTGATGTAGTAGATGTCCTGTAGGGTCCAGGTGCACAGACTCCCCTATCATCAAAGCTGGGTACTCGAGGTGAGCCCTTTGTGTGGACTAAGTATACCATCCTCTTGTAGTTGAGCCTTAGTCACTGTTGGCAGGTCAATGAGGGTGGATTTACCCTGGCCAGTCAGCAACAAGGACTGGTTTGACCGCTAACAACCAACTCTACCCTCCATGGAGGACCAGCTCTGCAGGGGCAGAGCAGTGGTGTCCCGATGTGGTCTATAGCTGTCCGCTGGGTGTGCAGGCGCTGGGGTTTCCCAGGCAGTACAGGCCAAGGTCAGCCCCAACCTGTGTTTTGCCTGGGGCCACCCTGCATGAGCTGTAAAGCCATCTAAGATGGCTGCTACTTGTTCTGGTCCTGGAGATTCCCAGGCAAAACCAAGCTGTGAATCTAGGCTGGCTGTTGCTTGTTTGATAAGATTTGGGAAGTTGTGAAACATGAGCCAAGATCAGCCACTCATATGGAAAAGTCGCAGTCAACGGTTTGGGTGAGATGGAGTAAGGGTAGCTCCAGGGCAGGACAAGCAGTATTAGCTGGTTGACAGAGTCTCAGATGTGGCACCTGACTGCTGGCTTTGTGGCTCTGTAGGGGGTGGTCTCAGAAAAAGGACAATGGCCTCTGCTTGCTTTTCTGTCTGGAAGAAAGCTGTCACCCAGCTCCTGCCTTGATGCCAGACACTTCAGTTCCTCCCTGTATGCCACTGGTACCTTTCAAGCTGCTACCCCAGTGCTGAAGTTCAGAGGGAATGAGTCTAAGTCTGTGCGTGGGTTCTATAAGGGGAACTGCTTGAGACTCCAGAAGTTTCTTCCACCAGCTCAATCCCCACTGATTTTTGCAGCCAGAAGTTGTGTGAACTATCTTCCTGGCCCTGGAACCCTGGGCTGGAGGTCCTGATGTGGGGTTGGGATACCCTGCTCCCAAAGTACCCCTCCCAAATTTTTATCTACCACATGTAGATGTAAGACCAGCCCATTCCGCCTCTTCATCCCTCCTATTAGTCTGGATGGCTATAGTTTCTTTAATTCAGTAGTTATTATACTTCCATTCAACCAATTTTCTGACATTCTGAGTGATGATTGTTCTATATTTAGCTGTAATTTTGATGTGGCTGTGTGAGGAGATGAACTGTGTTTATCTATGCTGCCACCTTGACCAGAAGTGGGCCACCCTCTTTTTAACACACCATTTGTGTAATCCCCTTTTATTTCGACTAGGTATATCTAAGCAAGGGCAGAAACTCCTCCTGTGACCAAACGGTCATGTATTCCACCTATATTCCATCATTTCTTCTCTTAACAGTAACTGAGGAGTATTGTAATATTGTGTTCTTTAAACAAAATAAGTTATTTGTGATTCAATTTACCATAAGCTTATAAAGTATATATGGAATAAAGATAAAACAAACCACATACATAGTTACTTTTGATTACTAATCGAGCCCCACTAGAATTTTGGATATTATTCCTGCCAGAAACAGCTCAATCTGTTGAACTCGTGAACTCCAGTGAGATCTTGATTTCTTCTCTCTGATCTTCTTACAAAGTCAATGACATTTATAGCCTGTCTCACATATTAAATCTACTCAATGCCCAGTTCTTCTCTGATGATGCCTTTGGTTCACTTGCTGTGAATTTCTAAAATCTCACTATCTCCTACATCTTATCCTAAACATTAAAACATTTGAAGATTGCATTTCACCTACGTGCCCTCTACTGTAGTCTCTTTCTCTTGCTTTACTTCTCCTTTTTATCTCTAAGCCTTTGGCTAAACCTTTGTATAGCTGCTCCTCTATCATGTAACATTCTCTGACAACCTCTGTTGTACATCTGCTGCATAATATTAGCATCCAGAGAACAGTTGTGCATTTCCTGGTTCTGTTTTTCAGTGATTTATATTGATTCACCTATTCTAGTATTTTATGTGGAAGGGAAATTCCATCATTTGTGGGACAAAGAACTAACTTCCTGGCTGAAAACCACACAAACGGGAAAGACTATCTCCTCCAGAACACAGGCCAAACTTTGTGGGGACAAGAATGGCCCCCAGTGCTGTGCCTCGCAGTGAACAGACGGGGCCCCACCCTTTGGGGGAAAGTAGTAGGCTTCCTCAGTTGTTCCCCCAAGGCCACCACACAAGGCTCCATGAGGGGAAGCCCCTGTTTCTTTTGAACACACGATTTCCTGCACTTGAGATATTATCTGGATAGCATATTAGGTGGGGAAGCAGTATATGAATACATGAATTATGTACAGCCTATAGTAAATTCAGCTGATCTGCCATATCCCCAGATGTGTTCAAACATGTATGAATTAACGTATTCATCACAACCAAAACCCCCCTCCTTAGCTTTCTCTTTTAAATCCAACCAATGTTGAATTCAGCACTTTTTTTAAACTTAATCTTTATTATATTTTTTCCATTATCATTTAGTCCCCTTATACCCCCCTCACTCCCAAATCACCACACTGTTGCCCATGTCCGTGAATCCTTTTTTCTTTTTGCTCAACCCTTCCACCCCCTGACCTCACCCCCAGCTGCCATCCTGCTCTCCATCTATGAGTCTCTCTCCATTTTCCTTGTTAGTTCAGTTTGTTCATTAGATTCCACATAGGAGAAATCATATGGCGTTTGTTTTTCTCTGTCCTATTTCACTTAGCATAATGTTCTTCATGTTCATCCATACTGTCACAAAGGGTAAAATTTTATTTTTTACAGACAAGTAATACTCCATTGTGTAAATGTCCCATAGTTGTTTTGTTCACTCATCTAGTGATGGACACCTGGGCTGCTTCCCTTTCTTGGTGACTGAAAATAACGCTGCAATGAACATAAGAGTGCTTATGTTCTTTTGAAAAACTGTTTTGGGTTCCTTCAGATATATTCTCAGAAGTGGGATAGGTGAGTCGAATGGAAGATCCATTTTTAATTTTTTGAAGTATCTCCATACTGCTTTCCACTGTGGCTGCACCAATCCGCATTCCCACCAAAAGTGCGAAAGGGTTGCCGTTTTCTCCACACCCTCACCCTCAGTGAATTGTTGTTCATTGATTTATTGATGATAGCCATTACATTCAGCACCTCCTGAGTACAGCCTCTACCACCCGTGGAGACCCCTTGCTGCCTACACCCACACCCTAACAAGGCTCTTGAAGACACCTCCTTGTGTCACCATAGCATAAAGACTGGTTTGATGCCAGAGGCTCTCTGGTTTGGAGTCAGCACAGCCTTTTCATGGGGGGAACAAAATGTTTGTTGGTTTTCTTTCAATTGTGAAAACTATATGAGTAGCACAAAGTGCTAGCGGGAGTGATTGAGAAAATAGAAATTCACTGCCAGTGAGGACCAAGAGGCTTCCGGAAAGCTGGTATTTGAATCGGTGGCAGAGAAAATTTTTACATCTTTCCCTGTCTCTGCCTCCTCCTTTGAGCACTATCACTAACAAAGAAACGACCTCTCTCTGGGCCCAAGCAACAACGTTGTTGTCCTGAAAGAGCCCCTTTGATAGGGCACCCGAACCAAAGGAAATTAAATCAAATAATCATCTAGTGTTATTTGTGATTGAAGAAAGTCTCCCTAAATGGAAATAAAAATTGATATGAACAGTATCTTTTCTATTCACATAGGAATTCTTTTCCTAGGAATTTGTAGTACTTTTTAAAGAACTAGCCAAAAAGAAAGGAGCTGTTAAATACATTAGTAGTGGTAGGCATTGGAAATTATTTGTTTCATTTCCTGGAAACTTAATAAAAAGACATAATTTGTTCTGAAATGTATGTTCTGAGTGGAATGATTAGAATATCTAGATAAAAATCTGTGTGGCCTCTTTCAACTTCAAGAACATGGGAGAGTAGATAATTTCCACTTGAAAACTAAGAGAAAAATGGTTTCCTACTTGCAATGATACCAAAATTGCTGAAATCTGAACTGCAAAATTTCATTAAACAACCTTAATAAAGATATTACCATTACCTTCATGTAAAATTAGCTTTTGAAAATGTCCCCATGTTCATAAAGGAGTAATATATGAAGGTAAGAATTTTTTAGTTGCATGCTTCAAAAAATATTAGAGTGCTAACAAGACATATGGCTGTGAAAAGCTTATTGTCAAAAGGCTGGTGAAAAGCTGCTCTTCTCTGCCCTCATTAATGAGTAAAATAGTGTCTGCATATGGGCATTTAATAATAGTATTTGAAAATAGAAAAATAACTTCAAAGAAGAGATGATGATGGCTTTGTGGTTGTTTGGGAGCTATTTAAACTTTCTGAGAGATTTAGTTTTGGTTCTTTATACCTTGTTTTCCTTGAAGATCAAAGTATCTGTGTCTTCGGGAGGTGATTGCATTCGAACATACAAGCCAGAAATCAAGAAAGGAAGCTACAATAATATCATTGTCAACGTAAAGACACCTGTTGCTGACAACCTCCTTTTTTATCTTGGAAGTGCCAAATTTGTAAGTCTAATATTCAGCTTTTCTTGGCTTATTGTGTATATGTATAGTCAGAGGTTAATCCTGGTAGTGTGGAAAATATAGGGAATCCAACAACATGGTCCCAGAATCATGCAATATAGCCTTTCAGACTTGAAAACCTCAGAATCTTACCTCACAAAGTTCTGAAGTGCCAAATTAAGTTAAAGGACAAATGAAATGAAGAACACTTTTATAGTACTTACACACATCTGCTTTCATCTGTATACCAGCATTTATTTTGAATTATTTTTCCAGATTCAGCTATTTAAAAACTAATAGGAATAAAGCACACACACCTTCCAGAGTGACTATAACTTTTCAACAGACCACTCATCACATAAGTCAATACCTGGAATTCAGGTAGGAAGTTGGCAGGGAGATGGGTCACCTTGTAGAAAAATCATGGCTGGCCCTTCAAAAATGTTGGTGCTCTTGGAGGAAAACAATAAATTATGAATCCAAGTATTTGCTTTTATCTCTACCACAAGTATCAAGGAAAGTATCAAAATTAGTCCTAACTAGGATTGATTAAATCAATACATGCAGCTCAGCAGTATAAACAATTGTGTTGCCTTAAAGATACAATAATAAAGTATTATTGAACCATACATAATAACAGTACATATTACTTGGGAATTTTATTCATGCAGCTTCTAATTATTTCACATATCCATAAATGGTACCTATTAAAAATAACTCTGCTGGCCTTCTCTTTCTGGATGCTTTATATATGATATGTTTTGTTTTTGTGTTTCTATGAACTAGATTGACTTTTTGGCCATAGAAATGCGTAAAGGCAAAGTAAGCTTCCTCTGGGATGTTGGATCTGGAGTTGGACGTGTAGAGTATCCCGATTTGACTATTGATGACTCATATTGGTACCGTATTGAGGCATCAAGGTAACTGACTCAATAAAGATTAAGATAAATAACAGAATTTTGAAGTAGTTTCCAAGTTTATAAGAAGACTCCTACCTTCTTGAAATGGATATATATATATTTTTTTATATGTTATATTATTATGTGTATGTATAAATATGTGTGAATTGGTATCTTTCTAGTGCCTGTTAGGAACTGACAAACCTTAAAGATATTGACCAGATTGATTATTTATTTTGAACCCCCTTATCTGGCTGTCTCACAGAAATTTTGAGATTAAGTTGTTTTCAGTCATACCATCACACCTGAAGAAGTGTTGAGACCACTTATTCAGAACAAGCCAGAGTGTAAGAGCTGCCACGAATGTCTGTCTTTGGTGCACACAATTCTTCTGGTCTATATAGTCTATATAGCAGCCTTACCTACAAGCATGTGCAGTATCTAAATGCTAGCATGAATATTTAAAATGGGAAGCAACAGGAAGTTGATTAATTCTATTTTTGAAGCCAAAATTCAATTAACTTCTAGCAATGTATAGATTACTTAGAGAAGCTGTTCCTATCCTTAAGATTTCCCCCCTCAATTTCTCTTTATTTCCTAATTCTTCACCATCTACTACACCCAAGGCAGCTAACAGTTAAGAGGTATTGTTAAAGGTCTAAGGCTACAGATGCAGTTGATCAACAATCTGGTAATTGTTGAATTCTAAGCGATAGATACATAGAATTTTATTCTATGTATGTATGTTTAAAGTTTTCCATAATAAAAAATTTAAAACAAAACTTAATGAGAAGCAATATCTTCAATTCCTTTGTAAGATTTTCAGTAAGAGAGAGAGAGAGAGAGAGAGAGAGAGTGTGTGTGTGTGTGTGTGTGTGTGTGTGTGTCTGTGGGTGTGTAAAAGAGAGAGAAAAAGACCAACAGACAAAATGTGCTTCCATATGTGGTGGTAGGGGTAGAGGGATTAAGTATTTTAAGAAGGTAAGAATATTTATATTCACAAAGTACAATTCTTTTATCAGAGTAGATATATTCAATTAAAGAAGAAGAATCTTATTTGATAAATTAATTTTATTGTTTCCATGTATTTCAGTTAATACTACACCCTCAAAGATAAAAAGATTACCAAAATGAGACAGCAGGGAGAGAAATATGATGCTGAAGTTTTGTTATGACAGCTTGTCTCAGAAAAGAGACCAGATTTTCTTATTTAACAATTCATGGAAATCAATCACTTTTTAAAAAGAAAATGAAATGCAGTAATAGCATCTTTCAAAACCATATTAATTGAATTTTAAAGTGAAGTTCTTTTATACAATTTGTATACACAACTCTGAAGACTAGATATTATACAATATACATTAAGATAGTGTGCCAAACAATAAAAGATGCACAGTTCCAGGAAGACTACTTCAGCAAATCTGAATCCAAGATATAATAGGAGATTTTAGGGGAAATTATGCAGTTTATAATGCAGAAGGGTTCACTTGCTGAATTAAATTAGACAAAATGCTAAACAAAGTAATATAAATTTGTTTAAATAATATGTGTTGGTAAATAGCAAATTGTTTTGTGAGCCATAGGAAAAAGGTTTTTTTATTTAACCAATAACAATTTCATCAGCTAATTGCTGCTGTGTCATTTCATATCAATGGACACACACAGAAACAGGCTATGTTGCATACCGGTCCTGGCTGACTCCGACAGTAAACATCTAGCAAAGATCAGACTCTGGGTTTTGATTTGCAATTTAATGAATCTGGAACTTTTGGAGTTAAACACCCCGTTATCTCTTAAATATTCCAAAACAAGTCTTTACATTTTATACTTTTTCAATCTGAAGCTACTGGAAAGATGATACATAATTCATTTTCTGTATTTCCTTCCACTTCCTTTCAACACGTACCCTGGAAGAACTGGGAGAAATGGAACCATTTCTGTGAGGGCCCTGGATGGACCCAAAGCCAGCATTATGCCCCATACCTACCATTCAGTGTCTCCTCCAGGGTATACGATTCTAGATGTGGATGCAAATGCAATGCTCTTCGTTGGTGGCTTGACGGGGAAATTGAAGGTAATGTGTTCTTCCTCATCCTGTTTACCTCATCTTTGTAGACAACTTCTGACATGACTACTTAGGGAGAAGCATGACAAAACTATAAAAACTCAGCCACTTTTTACTTAATTTGTATTTTTGAACACAGGAATTTATGTTGAGTAAGAATTTTCTCTTTTGAATATTTAATACTGGAAAAACAATATTTTAAGCCTATGTGTATTTACTTAAATACTTGTCATTTTGTCCTAATCTGTGGCATTAATTTCTGGATATTCTTGTTGTATTTGCCTCAAAAGCAAAGTGATTGTTCAGTGTACTTTACTTTCTGGCTCAGCTTTTGATTTATTGATATGAAGTGCTATAAAGTTCAAACTCACATCTAATTAAAAGATTTATGAATACCTTGGGAAATATCTCAGGAGTTGTAAGCTTTCAAATCATGATCTGATTTTAAAAGTTTTCAAGCTGCTCTTCTCCTCATTCTTATAGAATAATGCACTTAATAGTGATAATTGCTTCATGTCAGGTCCTTGTACATTTCAAATTGCAAAGTGCCTGCATTTTCAAGAAGCTCATGCTGATTAAATGGAATTAGGTGTTGGTAAATGACCTGTGGGTGAGATGTAAGAACACAACCAAATATAATGGTTAATCCTGGGCTTGTCAGAATCATCCTGGGATGAGATTAGTCAGAAAATGTGAAAAGCCAGGGTGACCCCAAATTTATTAGAACTGAACCTTCTTCTAACTGAGGTTTTATTTGCTTTGTGTACAAGATATGACTCTCAAGTACTGTACTTGGTTCTACAACTATAGACTAAAATCATTCTCACTTCCTAGACCTGCATGTAAATATATATAGTCCATAGTAACGTATGACCATATTGCCAGCTTTCTTTTCCCCGCAGAAGGATGAATAAAGGAGTAGCACAGAGCAGTGCAAAAGCCATGAGTTTTGAAATCAAGTCCAGTTTGGATTCTCTGCTCTATCACTTACTAAAATATGACCTTAGGCAAGTCTACGTAACCCCTTGGGCTTTAGTTTTGTCAACAAGAGAAGGGAGATGAGAATACTTTGCCTGCATATTAATAAAAAAAATTTATAGCATTCATATAGCCTTTACTCTGTATTCCATAATATCCTAAGCTATTTACATGCATTACTTATTTTTCACAACAACCCCAAAAGGTAGGTAATAGCCTTCTCTTAATTAAAAGATCTAAGTAAGAGAGAATTTAAATGACTTGACCAAAGTCACACAGCACCTAGTGGTGGAGCTGCAATTAAATGCAGGTGTACAGGCACCAGTGTCTGCACTCTTAACCACCATGTTTAACAGCGACAACAAATAAGGAAATTATGTGCACACAGTTTATGACAAATGCCTAAGGCATGGTAGTCAACCTTAAATTGCACCTTAAATCACATCTTAAAAAATTTTTATTATTATCCAATGTCACTGGCACAAAGCAACTTTCTAATAACAATCTCAGGGAATATAAAACAGACAAATGGTATCTATAGAAAATCTTCATGATTTTGACCAAGAGTTTCAAGGAAACTGCCACACCAGAATATAAATCAAAAACTAAAAACAAGTTACTAAATCAACGTGTTGATGAAAATCCAAAGGAGGGGGAAATATATATATATATACACACACATATTTTTAGGATGCAAGAGGGCAAAGCAAAAAGCAAGTAGCATCCACAAGTAGGAAATCAACCTCTGGAAAATTAAGAGAGTTTTTGACTAATGGCAGAGAATTCCAAAAACTGCCTGACTTAAAAATGCCCTCAGCTCCAATCAACACTTCCACATGACAGTGCGCCTCTTCTTCACAGCAAGAGGAAGATGTGCGTGCTGATGAGCTCACCCTAAAGTTGTAACTACACATTTTAACTACTCAGTGACCATCTCAGACATTTGTTCTAAAACCCGAACATGTCAATTCACTCCCCTTCAACCCAAAATCATTTAGAGAAATGTGGATTAGCTGTGGCAAAGCATTTCTAAAGCTGTAGAACCAGAATATAGAATTTATGTGTAATACGTGAAGGCCAAAAGGAACAGCTATGTAAATTAGAGCAAGGCTCTCTAGCGTGGACCGTGTCATTCCCCTTCTTTGTGGCTGTGTCATGTATCAGGGCTTAAGACCTTTCCCTATGAGAAGAAGACCAGGGTTGCTATTCAGCAAATATTTATTGAGCCCCTAAGGGGTGCCAGGCCCTGTGCTGCTCACACCAGCAAACAACGGCAACATGGTCCCTTTTCTTACAAATTTACTCTTTCCTCCATTCTTAGGCATTGGAAACCCGCTTGGGTATAAAAGGAAGTAAAAACCGGGACAGCACTATCATAGGGCACATAATTCATATGCGAGGGGTACATTAGTTAATGTGTACCTCTTCTCTTGATCTCTGGAAGAAATCTCCCTAGTGGTAGAAGAGCACAAATGTTTATTAAATACTTTCTGTGTCAGTCACTGTATATGTTACCAGAAGTAAATTACCTAATTTAATCTTCCTAAAAATCCCATGTTAGAGACCAAAAACATAGAATTTCAAAGAAGATAAGCAGCCCACCTCAAGTTAGAAGCTAGGAAGAGTTTATTTCCTAATGGTGATATGTGAATATAGCACAAAATAACCTGGATCTGTGAGGATATAATATGAGGTTAAAAGATGAATATGTGCACAACCAAGAATACCAGAAAGAGTGGACAGTAACTATTCCAGATTCCACTGTCAATAGACCCTATGGGTGCTCAAAGATTTTTAGTGAAATTCTAAATTCTAACCAATATTACATTTCTCTCTGCAGAAGGCTGATGCTGTGCGTGTGATTACATTCACTGGCTGTATGGGAGAAACATTCTTTGACAGCAAACCTATAGGGTTGTGGAATTTCCGAGAAATAGAAGGTGACTGCAAAGGATGTACTGTCAGGTTAGTTGAGATGGTCTGGCCTGTCCGTCACAAAAGCTTTAGTTTTACTGTGCACTATTTTACTGTCTCATGGATGATATGGAGCAGGCTTGAAGTGATTGCATTCAGAGGTGTATTTACCATGATGCCTATCAAAGTTCAAGTCCCTTCCCCAATTTGTGCAGGCACTTTCAAAGGCTCTGGGAGGTGCTTTAGCATTACTTTTACATGTTCATATGTTTTTGTAAAATTTGCAAGGGTCAGGTATTTTAACCCAATTAGTTAAGACTACTACCTTTCCACTCCAACTTCCCTTCATGTCCAGGAGGTTTTTCATGTCTACAGCTATCCTGTAGTTATAATTGTTTTCTTTTTTTAATAATAACATTCTATTTTTATTTTATTTTATTTTTATTGAATTTATTGGTTTGGCATAGGTTTCAAGCAATTCTAAACCGTATCATCTGCACACTGCATCATAAATGTACTCATCACTCAAAGTCAAGTCTCTCTGCCGCCATTTATCCCCCCGTATACCTTCTCTCACCTCCCCCTACCCCTTTTTCTCTCTGGCAATCACCACACTGTTGTCTTTGTTTGTTTTTTTTCTTTTTTGGCTTAATCCCTTTACCTTTTTCACCCAGACCCCCCACTCCCCTCCACCCTGGCAACCATCAGTCTGTCCATGTCTATGAATCTGTTTCTATTTTGTTTATTTTGCTCATTAGATTCTCTACATATAAGTGAAATCATATGGTGTGTATCTTTCTCTGACTGGTTTGTTTCACTTAGCATAATACTCTCCACGTCCATCCATGCTGTCACAAAAGAGCTGCTTCCTTTTTACATCCTAGTAGTATTTCATTATGTAAATGCACCACAACTTTTTTTTTCCACTCATCTACTGATGGACACTTGCGCTGCTTGCAAATCTTAGCTATTGTAAATAATGCTTCAATGAATATTGGGGGGCTTATATTCTTTCAAATTTGTCTTTTGGGTTTCTTTTCTGGGCAATAAGGCAGTTCCATTTTTAATTTTTTGAGGTGTCTCCATACTGTCTTCCACAATGGCTGCACCAATCTGCATTCCTACCAACAGTGCATGAGAGTTCCGTTTTCTCCACATCCTCGCCTGCACTTGTTGTTGACTTATTGATAACAGCCATTCTGACAGGCATTAAGTGACATCTCATCGTGGTTTTAATTTGCATTGCTCTGATGATTAGTGACATCATGAATATTTTCACTTGTCTATTGGTTGTCTGATGTCCTCATTGAAGAAGTATCTATTGAAGTCCTTTGCCAATTTATTAATTGGACTTTTTTGGAGGGGGGCGTCGAGTTGTATAAGTTCTTTATAAATTTTGGAAATTAATGCTTATCAAATGTATCATTTGCAAATATGTTCTCCTATTCAGTGGGTTGACTTTTCATTTTGTTGATGGTTTCCTTTGCTGTGCAAAAGCTTTTTAGTTTGATATAGTCTCACTTGTTTATTTTTCTTTTTTCTTTTGTTTTCCTTGCCAAAGGAGATAGATATATCAGAAAAAATATTGCTACAAGAAATGTGCGAGATTTTACTGCTTATATTTTCTTCTAAGATTTTCACAGTTTTGCAGCTTACATTTAAGTGTTTAATTCATTTGACTTTATTTTTGTGTAATGTGTAAGGAGGTGGTCTAGTTTTATTTTTTATATGTATTGGTTTAGCTTCCCCAACACAATTTATTGAATAGACAATCTTTTCCCCATTGCATCTTCTTGCTTCCTTTGTCAAACATTAACTGACCATAAAGCCATGAGTTTATTCCTGAGCTCTCTGTTCTGTTCCATTGTTCTATATGCCTGTTTTTATGCTAGTACTATGCTATTTTGATTACCATGGCCTTATAATTTAATATCAGCTAGTGTGATACCACCAGCTTTTTTCTTCTCAAGATTGCTGTGGCTATTTGGAATCTTTTGTGGTTTCATATAAATTTTTGGAATATTTGTTCTAGTTCTGTGAGATAAATGTCATTGATATTTTAATAGCAATTGCATTGAATCTATAGATTGCTTAGGGTAGTATGCACATTTTAATAATTTTAATTTTTCCTATCCATGGACACAGTAAATGCTTCCACTTATTTGTATCTTCCTCAATTTCTTTCTTCAGTGTCCTCTAATTTTCTGAATACAGGTCTTTTACATCCTTGGTTAAAGGTATTTCCTAGGTACTTTATTTTCTTGTTGTTGTGATTGTAGATGGGATTGTTTTCTTAGTTTCTTTTTGATAGTTTATCATTGGTATATGAAAATGCAACTGATTTCTGAATATTAATTTTTTATCCTGCTACCTTACTGAATTCACTTATTAGTTCTAATAGTTTTTGCACAGGGCTTTTAGGGTTTTCTATATGCAATATCATGTCATCTACAAATAATCAAAATTCTATTTCTTTCTTTCCAATCTTGATGCCTTTTATTTTTTCTTCTTGTCTGATTGCTGCTAAGTACTTTGTTAAATAACAATGGGGAAAGCAGACATCCCTGTCTTGTTCCTGATCTTAGGGGAAATGCTTTTAGTTTTTGCCCATTGAGTATGATGTTGACTAAGGGTTTGTCATATATGGCCTTTATTATATTGAGGTATGTTCCCTCTGTTCCCACTTTGCTGAGAGTTTTTTCATAATTTCATGCTAGATTATATCAAATGCTTTTTGTGCATCTATGTATATGATCATGTGATTTTTAATCTTCTTTATGTTTATGTGATGGATCACATTTATTGATTTGCAAATATTGTACCAACCTTGCATCCCCATAATAAATCCCACTTGGTCATGGTGTATGATCTTTTTCATGCGTTGCTGGGTCAAATTTTCTCATATTTTTTTTAGATATTTTAGCATCTATGTTCAACAGGGATATTGCCTATAATTTTTTTTCTTTGTAGTGTCTTTATCTAATTTTGGAATTAGGATAATTCTGGCCTCATGAAATACAATTGAGAGTCCTCCCTCTTCTTGAATTTTTTGGAATAGTTTGAGGATAGGTTTTAGTTCTTATTTGAATCTTTGATAAAATTTGCCTGTGAAGCCATTCAGTTCGGGACTTGGGAGTTTTTTCATTACTGCTTTGATTTCATTAGTTATAGCTGGTCCATTCAGATTATCTGCTTCTTTCTGATTCAGCCTTGGAGGATTATATGCTTCTAAAAATGTATCTATTTCATCCAGCTTTTCTAATTTGTTAGTGTATAATTGTAATATTTTTTACAATTCTTTGAATTTCTGTGGTGCCAGTTATTGCTCCTATTTTTTATTTCTTATTTTATTTATTTGGGTTCTCTATTTTTCTTGATGAGTCTGGTTAAAGGTTTGTCAATCTTGTTTGTCTTTTCAAAGAACCAGCTCTTGGATTCATTGATCTTTTGTACAGTTTTTTAATCCTTATGTCATTTGTATCTGCTCTAATATTTATTATTTTTTGTCTGCTTACTCTGGGCTTTGTTTGTTGTTTTTTCCTAGTTCCTTTAGGTGTAGGATTAGATTGTTGATTTGAGAATTTTCTTGCTTTTTCAGGTAGGCCTGTAATGCTATGAATTTACCTCTTAGGGCTGCTTTTGCTGTTTTCCATAGATACTGAGTTGTTGTGTGCTCATTTTCATTTGTCTCAGGGTAGCTATTGATTTCTTCCTTGATATCATTGCTAATGCATACGTTTTTAGTAACCTGTTAATTAGCCTCCCTGTGTCTAAGTGTTTTTAGAGGTTTTTAAAAAAATTAATTTCTAGTTTTATACCATTTTGGTCAGAGAAGGTGCTTGATGTGATTTCAGTCTTCTTGAATTAAGACTTGTTTTGTGTCATAACATGTGGTCTATGCTAGAGAATATTCCATGTGCCCTTGAAAAAAATGTGTATTTTGCTGCTTTGGGATGAAATGTTCTGTAAATATCATTTAAATCCATCTCCTCCAGTGTGTAATTTAAGATTGCTATTGTCTCGTTGATATTTTGTCTCTAAGAGCGATCCATTGATTCAATGGGGTATTAAAATCTACAATGACTATTACTTTCAATCTCTCTGTGTCCATCATGATTTACTTTACATATTTAGATGATAATATGTTGGGTGCATATATGTTTACAAGGTTTATATCCTCTTGTTGGATTGATCCCTTTAGTATTATGTAATGTCCTTCTTTGTCTTTTGTTATGACATCTGTTTTGAAGTCTGTTTTGTCTGATACAAGTATTGCTACCCTTGTTTTTGTTTTTGTTTTATTTTCATGGAATATCTTTTTCCATTTCTTTACTTTCAGTCTGTGTGTATCTTTTGTTCTTGTAGACAGTATAAATATATGGGTCATATTTTCTTATCCATTGAGCTATCCTAATTTTTTTTATTGGAACATTTAATCCATTTACATTTAAAGTGATTATTGATAGGTACTTATTTATTGACATTTCACTTTTTATGCCTATGTTCCTCTCTATGGACATTTCTTTTTTATTCTTCTTAAAGAAGGTCCTTTAACATTTCTTGCAATACTGGTCTGTTAGTAATAAACTCCTTTAGCTTTTTTTCTTTATTTGTCTAGGAAGCTCTTTATTTTACCTCCAATTTTAAATGATAGCCTTGCTGGATAAAGTAGTCTTGGTTGAGGTTTTTGCTTTCATCACTTTGAATGCCAATCCTTTCTGGAATGAAGTGACTCTGTTGAGAAATCAGTAGAAAGCCTTATGGGGAATCCCTTGAAGGTAACTATCTTTCTTTTGCTGCTCTCAAGATTCTCTTGTTATCTTTAACTTTTGCCATTTTAGTTATGATATGCCTTGGTGTGGGCTTCTTTGGGTCCATCTTGTTTAGGACTCTCTACACTTCCTGGATTGTGTGTCTTTTTCCTTCACCAGGTTAGGGAAGTTTTCAGCCATTGCTTCTTCAAACAGTTTCTCAATTCCTTGCTCTCTTTCTGGTATCCCTATGATGCAGATGTTGTTATGTTTGATGTCATCCCAGTGGTCCCTTAGACT